CAAGGCCAAACAACTTCTATACAACGAAAGGATACTGCGACCTCACAAAAGGCCACACCATCTTGGTATTCATACCTTCAAATAAGTTATTAAATTCATGGGCGCCTTGCAGTGTTAAGTGATCATTTGACCTTAAAAGTCCTTAGTGCCTTGTGATTTTGCTAAATTCGAGCTGAGTTTTCTATATTCCTCCATTCCAGACATCGTCAGAGCATGAAAGCATTCTTCAAGAAAGTTTCATTCAATCCTAAGCCAAAAATTGTCTCACTATGATGCTTCCTACGTTGTATTGCCTAGGTTTGTCCATTTTTAGAGGCAGCCATTGATTCACTTATCCATTCTTCCTTTGGACACTTGCAGATGAGTGAAGTGGTGTATTTGTGACCTAACAACTGTTTCCCCTCCAAAATCACTTATAGTATGATATTACAATATTGACGTGCGCCTATTTCTGTTTATTTTGCACGTGTGCTGACTGCATGCAAAGCATTCTTCTTGCCCGGCGCTTCTTCCTAACCCCTCTTCATAGCCAACAGCTATAAAATGAGTATTTCATACGCACCATAGGCAATAGCACAGGGCCAAACATTATTCAACAATAGGCGATGATACACTAGTTTTTTGTGTAATGCGACAACTGCCACCGAACGCACTTGAGGTTCGGGAAGTTAACTTCACTCATTTGCAAGCATGCAGAGTAAGATTGAGGTATCCAACCATATTAGGTGTATAAAAAAGCGACTAGCTTTGCAACCGGCCACTTTCTCTCTTGCTTTAGTATATTTTTGCTCTATTTCGTAAAATATAGAAACTTGATCTGATAATCTGTCACAGTAGAGACGAATGCTTAGCATAGTTTAATCGGGATCGCAGGACAGTGAGCCAGACTTCTTCGCACAATTTAAGTCTCCCATACGCACCAATCCCCCACTCAGTTTCCACAGAGACCGCATCACGAATTCCTTTCAACCAACTTTCCTTTCGAAATGGAGAATCATGCCACGACACCGTCATGGAGACAATATACTTTAATTAAAAGAATGGGTTTCCCCATGTTATTTTCTCTATGGGCAGCCCAGAGCCACGCTTTTACTCAATCTTGGCTCTGGTTCCTTTTTAACCTTTCAAAAATCAGTTTTTCTGCATACCCTATGTTCTCTTGTTGAAGGTCAGAGGTCTATATAACCTTTATGCAGTCCAGGCTGCAAAACAATCTTCCAAACTTTATTTATTCCACTTAGTGATCAAATACCCTAGGTAAGGCATCCTCTACAGCGAAAGATAGTGAGATTTTTGAATACCTTATTTTTCCTATCTCAATCTACTAAGGCTCTTGCCGAAAGCATTTGATACAAGATGAGACTGTGTAATGTAGTACATTGATGACTCTTTGAGGCCGTAATCATAGATTATTCTGGACGACCATACATGAGCTTCTATTCTCACAAGCATCACATCTTTTTAAGAATAAATTATGTATATGCCTGGCTCTTTTACAACAAAATGTTCTTATGCTATATTTTGTTGTTTATTTATCCCTAGTCAGTTTGCTCAGTCTTGTCTTAAGAAAAAGATAACACTTGGTCTACAAGTCGAAGGCTAATGCCATAAAAAGGAAACATTTTATGTAAGGCATAACCTGCTTATGGGAATTAATAATTAACCAAGCTTAAGTATGCACTTTATGGAGATTCAGAGCCAAAATTACAAGCCCTTTCAGAAGTATGATACATTAATTATTAACACGATAATGTAGAAAGTGATGATGATTTCGCAACGCTTCAAGAACTTGTTTCATTGGGTTTTTTAATACAATACAACTAAAGACATTTATTCACTCGTTCACAATAACGGGAGCATCTTCGCTATCCCAATCCACTTCACTGACGAGCAATTCCCCTGAAACATCTGACGTTTTAGACAAGCATCCCTGCTTTTCTGGTTCTAGACTGCAGCCGAAACGTCGCTCCAGGCTGCATTGAAAACCGACTGCCCGGTTCGCCAAGTCAGCTAGTTGATTTGACTTTGAAGCCATTTTTGACCCACTCGATATTGCTAGCGAAGTAGATAACCCCTCGTCAATTTTCGCAGCGGAATCTGCCGCTAATATATTGGCGATCAACCTCCTCATACATGTGGCGAGGAAAGAGGGTCCGCAATCACTAGTTCTGGCTTTGAAGTGTACATCGGAAGCAGCCTCAAAGAATAGATTGCTGAGGTCGACGGCAGATAAGGACTCAGGGTCCTGTGGGTCAGTCGAGTCATCAGAAGAAGTCAGAGTAATCTGATGATAAAGAACAGATATCAGGGCAGAGTATAGCTGTGGATGCAACCGAATAATGGCTTCACAGTTAGACAAGAGAAATATCAACTGTCGCCAGTGTGTCCAGCCATCGAGGAGTTGACCTGTCCAGGGTGTGTGGAATGAGGCATACACGAGTAAAATAAATGAGAAAATTTACATTATGATTTACTTTGAACTCATTTTCACCAAATCTTTTCGAATAATTATGAAGACCTTATTAATGCCGTTTCCTCTTACTTAGTTGCGATGTGTTCCTCCAGCAATTGGCCTCTGGCTAGGCACATCATCGTCATGAACTGGGAATGTAATCAATTAGAGTTCCTATGATGGAATAAGACAGAAAATCTATGGTGTTAAGACCAAGATGGTGTGTAGTCACAATCTCATTCAGTTGTACGGAAATTGTTTGACCACAGCTTGGTCATATTTTAAGGCAGTACTAAAGAAATGCACCTTTTCAGGAGTTCATAATATCCATGATAATTTCCAGCTCCGGACCATGGACATGGTACATTAACAGACGTTTCTCCA